ATAAGGAGCCAGCCACACAATACAGTCGGCGGGAGTCCACAAGAATCCAGTGAAAGCCAGGGGCTGCGTCAATGACAAAAGACAGAAACAACCTCACTTTTTGTCCCTGAGACAAGGGCTGCCCAATTTCAGAGTGCTGTTGCTCTTTCACCAAAACCAAGGATACCTTCATGCATTTCAATGGGGGTATTCCTGCATAAAGAACGAAGCACTATTGCATAGCCCAGTCATCCCTCTCCTCTCCTGTTGTTAAGCCTTTCTTCACAGCTGAAACAAAAGAACTCTGGTCCCTCCCCTTGAATAACAAATAAACCATTATTTTGCACAGCAGAGCGAGGAACATGTGTGCAAAATAAGAGGAAAATGGCCAAAAGAAAACTGTTAAACCGTACAATGTTTTCTTTCACTTTAAAATGTCTTTCCTTGTATAACTATGAAAACCGTGTTTATAAAAAGCCAATAAAGTGCTAAATGTAACCTGCCAAGTCAACATATAACACCAAAAAATGGCAGATGAAGAGGCAATTTTAGTGTGTACAAATGGGAATATATCTCACTTTCTGGCTCTAAAAGTGGGGCAAACCAGTCACCAAAGTTTAATTAAGATTCTTGCTGCTGTTTTACTGATAATCCTGTGTAGAGAACTGTCACAAGCAAAAAAAAGACCCTTTTTACTGTTGAGTCATTGCCTGAGAGTGATTGCTTTTGCCACACAAGTAATTTCTTTTTCTCAAAGCTAAGTCGCTCATACATCTCTCTGCTCTGTGAGCCAGCAGAGAGTGAATTGCTCTCTCTGGAAGTTGTAATCAAGTTAATAATGAGGGAAAAACTTGAAGGTTGTAATCATTTAGCACAACATGAGCGATGGGACCAATGTGTTTTCTTTCAACAACTGCAAACACAAACAGAAACCATAAAGAGACATGGTTTGCCCCCTTCTCGGCCCTAAAAACCAACACTCCCCCACCTGTTCAGTGTCCTGCTGGGCATGGAAAGAAACATGTGTGTGTACGTGTGGGGGTGCATAGCAGACAAAGAGCAAATACATTTAGAATTCATGACTATCCACTGTGTTAAACATCAGAATTACAGTTTTATCCAACTGTACTGTTCTTTGCACATCTAGGGCCATTGTCTATTGTTACAGGGTCTACTGTATGTGAGCAGCTACCACACCATATGGTCCAGTTGCATATATTATAAGCATCATTTCTCTGGGGACAAGCTGATTTTATATGTTATTTCTTGTAAATCTCAGGCAAATGATCAACTCTAATATGAGGTTTCAAATGTAATGACTTCACAAGAACCTGTTATTTTGTAAATGTTGCATCAAAGATTATAAGGTTGTTTTTATCGCAGAAAAGCATTATATATTTTTTGTGTTAATTGTAATCTAAAGATGAAATTACCATATCAGTAGGTAATTAAGCTTGAACCACACATCCGGGCCATAAAGTGCTGCTGCCAGGGGCGCTAGCAGGAATCTTGAACCCCCTGATGGGAAGTGACACTAGGCTCCGCACCCTAATGATGCTTTAATTTACAGTATGATCTCGTCTGTGTGATGAGCCCATGGGTCCCCTTTTCCCTCCACCATTAGCACCTCAGCACACATTTCCATTCCACACAAGTCCACAATTCTTCTTTCTTATAGCTTTGCGATTATTGGTGACTAATGGCATATGTCCCACTTCCTCCTCAAAACTATGATCTTTTTTAAAATCAAAAATACAAGTACACTAGAAAAAAAGATTCCACTTTCGCTGAACACAGAACTGAGCATCCTACAGAGCTTGTTGAGAGACATTATGAAGTACCGAATTAGGGTTAAGCATCCAGCAGTGTTATGGGTTTGTTTTCTTTGTAAGTCTTAAGGCCCGGACACACCGGGCCGATTTCGGCCGTCGATAGATGTCTGGCCGTCGATAAGCGTCCTGTCGCCCTACTCAGATTGGTGTGTCCAGCACCGTCGTGTCTTTTCGGCCGTGCCGAGACCTTCCGCTGTCGGCAAAAGGCCGTCGGCCAAAGAAATCACTCTGATTGGCTGTTCAGCTTAGCGAATCAGTGCATGAGAAGCGAAACGGAAGTGAAGAAGGCACACACAGACGGCTATTATTTTTCATTTTCCAGTACCGCACTAAACATGTTATCGATTATAAGTCGTTATGTGAAACAGTCTGTGATGGACGAGGGTGAAAATGGAACGCACGCTATTTGTTGTTTGTATATATCACGCAGTCTGTCTTCCGGTTGCCTCTTTTGAATTAAGAATACACACTACCGCCGCTTGCTGGTAAGGAGAGTTATTGTCACTCACGCATGTGCATTGCGTACGTGCTACTTGGCCGTTGGCTGAAGTCTTTGCAGTGTGTTCCAGTGCGACTTTTTGGCCAAGACGCAGGAGACGTGAGGCGACACAACAATCGGGTCCGTCGGCACGTGTTCTTTGGTGTCAGTTTGGTGTGTCCGGGCCTTAAGATCATTTGCAGCCATAATCATTTCTGCAGATTCTCATACTTCCTTATGTACTAACTCAGTAATTGAGATGTTAAACTTGATTCCACAATTTCATTGTGTTCTGTAGCTAGCAAGCCATTTTCAAATTGGATAAACGAACAACTAATATGTTTGAAGCAAAGAAGTTTTAAAATGATAGCACAAAATACGGATACAGCATTTCTAACCAACAAAGATTTGGTTGAGTTGCCATATTTTTAATGAATGCATCTGAATTTTGTATGAAGGAAATACTTTGCAAGTCACAAAGAAATCTCTTTTCAAAAGAAGAAACAACCACAAGAAGTCTTCAAACATCAAGAGGAAGGCTCCAACAAACAAGATGCGAGCTGCACAGCATGAGTACACAAATACAGTGGTACACAATCTCCCATGTAACACAACTAAAGCCATTCTTTCCTTTTCCAGTACGTTAACATCACAACATTCCTGGGACAGTTCTGGAAATAAGCTAGTTAAACATGAAAGAAGGAGAACGAATCTATCTCAGGTGAAATTGGGTGACCCTCGCAAGAGATTAGTCCATTAGCAAAGAGGAGAGCCCCTCTCGCTTGACAAGTAATACCAGCTGTGACACCGGGCGCCGCCTGTCTGTTCAGGAGGGGGGGTGGTGGTGGTGGTGGAGGTGGTGGGGGAAGGGTGGGGACTTGGGAGTGAACAAAAAAACAGATGCATCTTTCTGACTATTTGTTCTAGGAGTAATTCAGAGCTCTGTTTTTCAGTTGTATCTGTTTTTGGCTAAGCTCAGGCCCAGGAGCTGTTGTTTTTTCAGCAGTTCAAATATAATAGACGCAAGCCTGTTTTTTTATTACAAGTATTGATGCAGTTTTATTGCAAATCCCAAACTCAATAAACACTTTCAGTCAGATTTCTTTGCCTGGATTAAGTAGATATATATTTTCCTTTGGAACAGCTGAAGGGAAACCTTGGCCCTTTGCAAGAACATGCAAGAGACTGACCATCTGTTGTGAAAGCAAACACACATGACCATTGCTTGAGGCCTGCTAAACACAAAGCAGTTTAGATGGCCATAAAGTCTAACCATCAACACCAACTCAGGGCACTCTCCTCCTGTCTCAAGCACACGGCAATGCATCGGCACAGCAGTGTAAAAACGTCTTAAAAGGGCTGTTCATTTCCTTACAAATAAACCACCCGAGCCTGAATGATAGGTGCTGCATGGTGTTAATTTACAACAACAGGCGCCACCGTAGTGTGACGAGGTAGAGGGAGTACAGTGAGATTAACCTCTCCACCCCTTTCCTTTCTGTGGGAGTACTCTGCCCCTGTGCAGCTTTGCTTAATGGCCTGGCTGAGTGATGTGAGCACATGGTGCTGCTACCTGTTGGCCCGAAAAGCAACAAGGAAGCCTGGAGAGAGGCATCAACACCCATTGCACAATAAAAACCAAGCAAAGAATAAGCACTAAGAGTTGTTTTAAAACGTTGTACTTTATCGTTGTTCCTTATTTTTCATAGTCAACAGTGGCAAAACATCAATTTTCAAAGCATATTTGAATTTCTTAATGGCAAGTTGCTGAATTCACATCAAATATTAAAAAACAAAAACACCATTTTCTATTTGTAAAGTCTTGGAAGCATTCGCTTATGCCACCCATTGCTACTGCCCAAATCCAAAATGAGACCTGTCCTACATGTAATTACTAGTTGGAGCCTGCAGCTCCCCCCCCAGCCAACAGGCAGCCCATAATTACAATAAATCAGACAGGATGTGAACATCATTCCGCTCAACAGCCTGTGTTAAACAGGAGAGAAAACACATTAAAAAAATTAGGCATCATGATGACATCATGGCATGAGCACATGTGAAGACTGGATGATGATGACTACCCCACTGCCTGCCTCTCCCATCATGAGGAGGGGGGGGGGGTAAAAAAGGGAGGCACAATGGAATAGTTCATGTCATATAAGCAGTTTCTATACAAATATGTCTCTTTTATAGAAACGATCAAAAGTGTACAATGATAAACCATTTACTGAGGTGAGTGAAGTTAAAAAAAAGGCTGCCTGATCTCATTTTTCATACAAGTAATATGTTTATATGTACGTTTTGTTTCAGAATTTAACACACATGCTATGGATAGAAACACATAGGAGTGAACAATGTGAATATTGTTGGTCTATTTGTTTAGTAAAAATCGCCACATCATAATTTTTTATGACTTTATAAAATATATTTCCATAGGTCTACATTTACATGCAAACTATATTCATATAAAAAGCATAGGCTACATGACTACATTCTTCGACGAATAACCTAAAGTGTACTGCAGCACACTAACTTTAAACTTAAAACGAAGAGCCACTCTTCCCCGTAAATGTGATCGATAACCCGGGCTGAAGTTTTGTTGGCACCTGCGTGTGCCTACTTTCCTCCACACACAGTCTACCTGCGGCTCAGAGCACCGAAGCGACCCGCGGGAACACCACCACAGCCCGGATAGTGGGACAAAAGCTTACCTTGGCGGAGAAGCACGGAGATGACGAGGGCACACACACAGCTGGCGGACAACAAGTGCATCCTTGCGGCTCTTTCAGATCCTCAGTCGGCTGCTTGCTTCGGAGGTTTGTTAAAACACTTGGCTGAGTTGATATTTGAAGGTGGCTTCAATTAAAATGGTCCTCTCGGGCTCCTGTTGTTGGTAGTGTACAGACAGTAGTTCAGTTCAGATTTGGCTCCACTCCAAACGTTGCATGTGCTCGCAAACTCGCGCTCACATCAGTTCTGGTGGAACAGGTAATTGCGAGGGGCGCAGAGACGAGCGCGAGGGAGGGCGGGGGATACTGTCTGCAGCCCGCCCCCCCCCCCCCCCCCCCCCCCCCCTTCCCTCATCTGCCCATCCTCCCTTTCCCCTCCAGCACCCCCCTCCTCCTCCCACACAAAAGTGCACCCAACCCCTTTTTTTGAGACCCCCTTAACTCCCCCTCCCTCGCCTCCCCCCCTTCTTCCCCTCCCTCTCACCCCCTTTACTCTCATCTTCAACTTCTTTTTTTCTCCCCCCACCCTTTTCTCTTTCCAACATGCACCCTCACTCTGCATGCGAGCACAAGTAGACAAATACACGCAGGGGGAAACCTTCAATCCAGAAAAACGCCACACTTGTTTCATGCACAATTCCCAGAGGTGAAACACCTTAATCCTCAATATGCATTTAAGATCTATTGATGTAAAAGTATATTAGTACATTTTAGCACTAAAATGTAGTAGTCATCTGACATTTCATTGAGTGAATGCATCTCTTGGTCTTCAAGCTTCGAAAAAACCTCTTGAGAAGCTGCATCTAAATGTCTTATTATGTCTGCTTTTAAACAATGAATCAGTTATCAAAATATAAAGTTGCCCTAACCCTTTTTTGTGTGCATTGACTACTCAATTAATAGACTTAACATTTTAATTGTAATCCAAAATATTGTCTTATTGCAGAGTGTTTAAATACTGTACATCTATGAACAACATTACCAACCTAAATTGGCCATTTTGGGTGATTTTCATTGTTCCAGTGGAGCTGAATGACTGCATTCCTCCTCAATTCAAAGTCAGTTCAATGTTGAAAAGGGTATGTGTCATCAAGATAGACAAGGCCGTCCGGAGTTCCTGAAAAGTTGACATTTTGATTTTATATTTATTTGTTATTTTTGCCTGATGACAGTAACATTTGATGAGCTTATCACAGTGTGATATCTGAATCTGAATATGTCAAAGTAACTTGTAACTACAGCTGTCCCCTATAGCATGTGAAGTACAAGGTGTACTCTCATAGTGACTGTCACAAGGTAAACATGCTACTTAACTCCTTTACTTGAGAAAAAAAACATATTTCTCCTGACACGCACACTGACCTGTTCCATTCAGGAAGTGAAACCAAGCGTTGTGAAACCAAGCGTTGTGCCTCACAGGCGGAGGACAGAAGGTTCATGGTAAAGCAGGCTATAGGATGTGGGTCCAAGGTTAATTATAATGAGAGAATTTCCACATAAATAATTCAAGCTGTAATTAATTATTAAAATCCTTGCTCATATCTCCTTACTTTTCTATTATTTCACTGAAAACATTCAAGAGCTGCGCCACTATAATTAATATCCATACAATTAGCCTACTATGTTAATAATTAGAATTTATGTAAGGGACTGACTACTCTGCAATTGTTCTCAGCTCTGTGTAAAGTCACTAACTGTCTATATTTACCTGCATAGCGTGCCATGGTTTCAAGACAGGTTTCTAAAGTAAAGACAAATAGATTGTGACTATGAGGGCTGTTTACTAAATACCACGCTCTAAATTTACGGACATAAAAGTGACAGTTATAGCTAGTTCATTTCACAAGTTGGTAAAAATAAACTTCAGAGCATGTCAAATTTAATTTAAACCACACTCACAGCAAATGAAATGATTTACCCCTGTTCTGTAACTGCATGATCATGGTTGTCTGATCACAAAATGTGTGTGCCTGCTTGTACGCACAGTGTGTGTTGGGGCTGGGGGAGGCAATCTATCCGGGTGAACAAGTAAGTATTCCTCACCCTGGGTGTGAAATTCATGTATGATGGTTTGTGCAAATGGAGTGAGTGCACAGGCTGTGAAAACCTAATGCAATTTGATTAGAAGTTAACCGCAAAGCAATATTTTTCTTGCCTCAGTGCGTTGAGTGCAGAAAAAGAACTATTTGTTTTTTTTCCGTGTGGGTGAAAGAGAATGAGACTGAGCGATGGCCGAGCCTGGAGCGTGATGTTCAATTACCAAACTATAACATCTTGGTAATAATTGGAATTGCAGGTGAGACTGGTCAAGGACTAAACAAAAACCGAACAACAAATCCATGTCACCAAAAAACCTTTGAGCAGGCTGTAGAAGTTCTATTCAGATGAATAAATGCAGCTGAAGCTCAAGTTCATTTTGTATTCACAGGAGAGCATTTTCAGTCAGTCCCCGTGACTGCAGAAAGAGATTACACAGAGACTAATGAATTACAATATATCATGTCTGGAGGAACTGCTCCAGCTCCAGCTGTCTGTTATTTGATGAAAGAATGAACGCTCCTATTTTGACATCTTGTGCGACATAGTGTGACATTGCTCCTGCTATGAGCATGGAAACAAACATCCTCGCGTTGCTATGGACTAAGGCAATAAAAATACACATTTTTGACATTGGGGAATGCTGCTGGTGACAGGAAATCAAGCTCTTGTTTCAGGGCTACACTAATTACCATTGGATTGTTTCAAATAAAACAAATAAGGAAATTCATCTTTGTCAGAATGAATGCAGTAACCTGTGCTATGTGCAGCATGGGCTCCAGCCTAAACAGGATGTTGTTCATTTACAGCTCCACGGTGGTCAGTTCCCTTTCCAATTCTTCATTTTCACCCAGTTAAAGCAGGAAAAATGGCACAAGTTAATTAGGCTTTTCTCCAGGTTTGTGAAAATCAAATTCCTTCCATATCCTGTGGATGTGTTTGCCCCTTCTGAAAAGCTCCTGGGAGGCAGACGAGTGATTAGTCTCCTAAAGATTGGGCTTCAGTAAACTGTGTCAAGCAGCGAACACAGTGACCCGACATTTTCAGCACGGCCAAGGGAGAGGAAGATCCGCTTAATGGCTAGTCTTGTGCGGAGCGGCAGCCAAACTCTGGATCAATAATTGCTTCATTAGGTAATCTGATTGAGTGTGTGAGCAGCCTGTAGTCGATGCAGAGTTACCTCTCTTTCTGTGAAGAGTCCGCGTTTTATTGATTCAACTGTTCTCTGTAGAGCCTAACTTCCCCCCCCCCCAACTAATCCACACATTTACACGGAGAAAAGGAGAATGGATCTCTTTGTTTGAGCTTCTCATGCTTCGACATTTTCGACATACCTCACTTGTATTAAAGCCGGTCAATATAAACTGCTTCTTGATAACAACAGTAAAACGAATAAGGAGTCCAAATTCCATGTCTTATGTCTGCCAGGTTGTTTCTGGTGGTTTAAAAGGTCAACTGCGTCAACAATGTTGAGCATGCATGCAATGTTCTGCATATTTCAAACAGTTGTTCAATTTCACTGAGAGCTAATGATGGATGTTGTGAGTGAATTACTCCATTAACTGGTGGTTTGGCGTTTCTAGACCTTTTAGCTGAAAACAGGTAGAAAACATTGAATGTGAACTAAAACAGTAAAGTTAAAGGCCGTCCAATCACGACCATGAGCTGAAAGACACTAGTGCACTTTGGAGCTGAAGGGAGTTGGTTAATCATACTCTATGAGTTTGTCACTGCAAATAACATTTGGACATAGTCATCTGATCCATTGTTAATACATATTATTTATTTTAGTCTTGGTGTTTTAAATGTCAAGTTTTTACTTCTGAGCTTTATACGCATCTACATTAAACTTTGCAGCGTTATCGCTACAGCATTGACCTATTCTTTAATGTCAATGGTTGGCGTTGGTTTTTTATATTATATACTCTTTCTGTCTTTATGGTTCTTTAACATTCTTTTGTGAATATAAATTATGAAATAGGTTGAGCCCCAATAACACATATAAACTCAGCTTTAATGATTATCTGAATAGCTAGCATGTACATTTACACTATTTACTACACTATATCATTGCATCAGTACTTTAACCTTTAATACTGGTACCATTTCTCAGTTTTGACCATGCTATTTTACTGTCTTCATTTTAATGTATTTTCACCACATGTGAGGTTTTTTAAACTGGTATAGTCAGTTAATCCTGTCTTGTGGAACCGTGTTGCAGCATGTGAGTGCAAATGTACCGAGACAAATTCCTTGTGATACCATTGTGCTTGGTGAATGAAAGTGATTCCTCTGGGCTCTATGACCTGATGGGAAGATGCTACAGAGAAACTACTGCAAACATAAGGAGAATAGTGCATTTTCAAAAAGATATTTCTACTGCCTAACATGATTTTTTTGATGATGATATATGCTTAAATCTTCTCTAAAAGGAAATTACACTCTTTGGAGTAAACAAGGCATTTATTTGAGACATTTGCTCTACCCTGACATTTAGATCAAGGCACACAGACTTCAAAGTCTTGCTCAACAGTGAAGATAAGATGAATATGTCATGGGGTTGAGCAGGTTTCTGTGTCTTAACACTCTTCTAATAGAAAGACCAAATATGAACTGAAACCAAAATATCAAAGAAAAAAAACGTTTCAAATTAAATAACATTTTGATGGATTCATATAAGGCTAAGAAAACCAACCCTGCTGATTGTGGATAAAATCTGTGAGGCCGAATCAATTACACCAGAGGCTGTGGGAGAGTTCAGATGTACTGCCGGTGAAATGTTCCCAGCCCGTCTCTGCCTTCATCCTGCGTTGGATGCAGCTGTTGGTGTGCGATATATTCGACAAAATCTGGCATGCTGGTTGTGTCTGTTTTCCCAAATTACCTGGTTGTAAATGCATAAATGTAATTCATTGGCAGCATGAAAAGCAGAGAAATTATTCATGAAGGTGGAGAGCCGTCTGGTTCAACTCAGGCATCTGTCAGCTGTCAGTATTGTTTATTCCTCACCTAAGCCTGAAACAATTTGTTGGTTTGTCAGATAATGGCGGCTCGTTTCAGGTGCTTAAATGCCGCCTGCTGCAGGCTGATGCTTTAAAAAACAGTTCAGAATACACAGAAAAATATGGCAGCAAATGTTTTAGGAAGACGGCTTCTCCCTCTTCCTTATAATGAATCACAACACACAAATGTTCCATGAAATTAACTCTTAAACAAATGATAAGAC